AAACCCCAAACCCTAAATCCTAAACCCTAAACCCTAAACCCTAAACCCCAAACCCCAAACCCTAAATTTTAAACCCTAAACCCTAAACCCTAAATCCTAAACCCCAAGGCCATCCCGGCAAACCCTCAGGCAGCCTACGGAAGACTCCACCAACTTTGTGAAGAGCTCCGGATTCCTTGGGTTGCTGGGTTGCGGGGGTCAGGGTTTAGGGTGTAGGGTTTAGGGTTTTAGGGTTTAGGGTTTAGGGTTTAGGGGGTCAGGGTTCCCTAAAGCCGTCTTATACGACGGTCTAGGGTTTAGGGGTATAGGGTTTAGAGTCTAAGTTTAAGGGTTCAGGGTTTAAGAGTCGGCGGTCAGGGTCCCCTCAAACCGTCTTATAAGACAGTTTAGGGTTTAGGGGTTAGGGTTTCTTATGCTGAACATTCCGACCTCTGTATATTGCGGTGCTGCGGTTTGGTTTAGGGTTTAGGGTTTGGGGTTTAGGACGAAGATTGTGGGGAAGAGTCAAAACAAACCATAACCTTAGCGCTCAATTTGGGGGTAACTGTTGCCAGCTGGCTAAACAGAGCCCTAATACGGAGTCCGGAGTTTATATGGCTAGGGTTTAGGGTTTAGGGTTCAGGGTTTAGGGGTTTAGTTGTGTTTCTTTTAGGGTTTAGGGTTTAGTTCGGGTAGGGTTTAGGGGTTTCGGGTTCTGTTCAAGGGTTTGGGGTTAAGGGTACCGGCTCCCAAAAGGTCCAAGTATCCGATACGTAGGTACATGGGTGCAGGGTTTACGGCTATGGACTCACGGTTCAGGTTTATGTTTTAGATCAGAGGCTCATGCAAGTAACTTTAGGCTAGTGCCTCGGAGAATCAACGACTTTGGGCACTTGGACCCTCAGGGTTCAAAAGATTCGGTCATAGCAAAACCCTAAACCCTAAACCCTATAAACCCAAAACCCAAAACCCTAAATCCCTAAATCCCTAAAAGCGCCATGAGGATCCCGATGAGACTGGCCATGACGATCATGCCGTCTTCCTCTTCCGCTGGAGCCCTTGTCCTTCTACGACAAGTACTTGCTGGCCTGCAACAAGGGAGTCTGTACCGAGAGCTTCTTCGTGTTCGTAAAGAAGGGCACTTTCATTCCCTCCAAAGTTGTCCAAGTAATCGTCGTGGTCACCTCATCCTCCTTGGAGGTCGTCTTCACCCACTGTTTAGGGTTTAGGGAAAAGGGTTTAGGCTTTAGGGCTTAGGGTTTAGGGTTTACTAGAAGGGGACGATGGTGTCCCTGGCCTTCGGCCTTGTGTTGCACAGATGGCAAGGGAAAGACTGGCAGCTCTGCCGGCTGCATCGAGCCGCTTCTTCGAGATGAGGCTTAGCGTCGCCTCGGTTCCCTAGTAGCCCCTTAATTTCTTACTACTTAGGGTACGATTTTGCATAAGGAGGCCCCAAAATACAGAAGGATTTATCAGGTTTACGACGCGGGTCACACTCTAAATCTTTAAGCCTTTAAACGTTTGCAAGCCCCCAAGCTTCAAGCTCAAGACCTTAGATGCTGAAGTTATCGAGATTTTCGGGGTCAGGGGGTTTTGACATGAGCCATGAAACCTGAACCCTCAATCCTTAAATCCTAACTAGTTATCTCTAAGCCTCCAAGCGAGGAAATAGTATGTACCTACTTTGGGGTCTAGTTAAAGTTGATTTAGAAAATAAAACCCTAAACCCTAAACCCTAAACCCCAAAACCCTAACACCCTAAACCCCAAACCCCCAACCCTAAAGCCTAAATCGTTGTTACTACCTTACAGTAGGCTGACTGGAGTCGCCCTTTAAAGTGCACCTGGGAGGGGATCTTGCCAGCAACTGCCGCTACCTACTTCCCCAGCAGCCCGCTAAAACACAAGGAAGGCTGCCTAAACCCTAAACCCTCAAACCCTCAACCTTAAAGCCTAAACCCTAAACCCAAAGCCCTAAACCCTCAACCCTAAATCCTCAACCCTAAACCCTAAACCCAAAGCCCTGAGCCCAAAGCCGAACAGCGAGAGTGACACGGGAGATGAACGGGTCAGGTTGGGCTTCGAGGCGAAGAACTTCCCCTGAGGGTTTGGGGTTTCGGGTTTCCCCGAGGGGTCCATGTGCCCAAATAGTTTAAACTTTGGCCCCAAAGTACCTATATAGGGACTACTTTAAGGCCAAGGTATATACTAGTTGGACACATGGACCCTTACAGTTCTATTTCATAGCCCTTAGCATCACTTTGGTTGGGTTTAGGGTGTCTTAGGGCTTAGGGTTTAGGGTTCAGGGGTTTTAGGGCTTTAGGGTTTAGGGTTTAGGGCTTAGGGCTTAGGGTTTAGGGTTTAGGGTTCAGGATTTTAGGATTTTAGGGTTTTAGGGTTTAGGGTTTAGGGTTTAGGGTTTAGGGTTCAGCAGCTCCGGATCGAGCAGTTGTACAGTATAGCTGTATTCACGGTTTCGATATGACACCCACCCACCCTTAGAATCCCATAACATTAAGAAAATACAAGGTCCTGTTCATCCTCGTTCATCGTTCTAGCTACAACTTCGCTTCACACACTTTTATATTGAAAGCCAGCCCTTGTTGTTGTTGTTGCTGTTGTTGTGGATGTTTATTGATTTGTTGTTGTTTTGGTTGTTGTTGTTGTTGTTGTTGTTGTTGTTGTTGTTGTTCCCCGATTAAACTTTGTGCACATGCTGTTAATTCTCACACTTAAACGCCACTTGACAGCT